ATCGGAAAATGAATTCAGTCTTTACGCGCATCTTCTGACTTTTTGGAGTAACGGTTGGCAGTTTAGGAACAGCTGGGCCGCTTTTGGAAGTTGAAAAGTGGACGGCAGCAGCCATAGCTTGCCTGGGTTTTGCATAACATGCACAGGAAATATGTGACACCATGTAAACGTAGACGGAAGCACACACTGCAAGTGCAACACCATGTATCTATGACATTTCACACACGTGCACGATAACATGTCAAACACATGCACTAAACATAGTGCTTTAGAGCAGACCCTTTCTGCAAGAACATTTTCTGCGGGTTTTTCCGGGCTTGTCAATGAACCTGCTAATCCGTCAAAAACTGTGAACCACTCCATCGACACGATCAACAGAAGTTGCATTCTGCTCCTACATTTCGATTGGAAGGGAGGAATTATGTGCGTTTTTGTAGTTTGTTTTCTTGACTTTGATGCCAAATTTGTTTTCTTGACTTTGATGCCAGAACTCTTTCGCGCCATCGACTCATGTTGGGGAAGGTGAACTTTGGACGCATTTTTGTGAAATGTTTCGATTAGGAAAGAGGGAACTATGTTTTTGCTTTTGTTTGTGCGAATGTGCTTGATCTTCGAGAGTCGACTCATTTGGAAAGGGTGGAATAGTGGTGGAATTTTGACGTTTCTTTGCGGTTTTAGTGTTAGTTAGAACTTCTCACACGGTCGACTCATTGGGGAATTATGGCATATTTTCGATTGGAAAAAGGGCATTATGTGGTGTTTTTATTTTGTTTTTCGCGATTTTGATATTGGAACTTCTTGCTTAATCGACTCATTTTGGGGAAGGTGTGGTTATGGGCGCATTTCTTGAAATTTTTCGATTAGGAGAAGGCGAACTATGTGTTTTTATTTTTTTGCTGTTGCGACTTTGCTGTTTGATCTTCTGGCACGGACGACTCGAATTATTTCAAGCAGACTTGGTGGCACGGAATGACAGCTGGCCCTTCATATGCTCGCGTCTGGCTCGTTGCTGCTACTTTGTTGTAGCGGTATTCTGCTGACTTTTCACGGAAGTTTGCTTCTGCAAAGTTCTTTTCCCGAATCCCTCACTGCGCTATTCGGATTGCCATTGAAATGGAAGCCTTCTCTTGCGATTTGCCCAGATGATCCTGACAATCTAATGACGAAATTTGGGACAGCACGAAAATCTAGGGTTTGTCTCGCAGACAAGCAGAACCAGGCAGGGGTGGACGCCGTCGGGGTCCATGGTGAGACGCTGACTCTGTTGCAATGCAAATACCAAGAGAGCGATAAAGTGGTGCAGAGGTGGAACGAGATCGGGCGGTTCATGGACTTTGCAGAAGACACAGGTGTGCACACATCCTTGCCATTTTTTGTTTGCCACTGGGAGAACACCGCGAGATTACAAGTCCAAACGGCCGAGTGAGCTTTCGATCCACGGTGTGCATATCTCTTGCACGTTCTATGCGAAGACCGAAGCCCAAGCAGGCTGTACAATCCAGACAAAGCCGATTTGTACGTGGATTCCTACCAGCATCATGTGTTTCTGACCGAGCAGACGCCATGCCCTGACAGTGGACCATACGGCAACTCGAGGGCAGATTCTGAGTGAACTGCAGAAGCATCATCGCGACATCGGATGTGCTGTGCTACGTTAAAGACTGCTCGAGGTTGTGGCATCTGAATTTAGCGCATGTTGTGCAACTGCAAGCATGTACACGTTTGTTAAGCGTGCAGCAAGTCGATGATAGAGCTGCAAAGTAACCTACTTCGACTCCACAAGAACTTGGTAATGCAAGACCATGTGTTGGGGCTGCTAGCCTGAACCTTTTGGCGTAAACCAAAGCCCTTTAACATTGGTAAACCCAAAACCCGCACACACCCGTGCATGCAATATCCTTACAACCGGAAGTCTTTCAGACTTTGTGGAAGGCCCAAGGCCTTACAAGGCCGCAGAGAAGTGGAACCCTGTTTAGCCCTTGCGACACAAACGGGTTGTGACCATTCTGCATGTGTAGTTTCTCCCGCATCACGAACATGGCTGCGGAATTGCACATACTTGTACATCAAACTTTTGCCTGGAACATAAGAGCAGCTCGAAGCAGGCCGAGGATGACTGCAGCCTGTGGTTGGCTGCAGAGGACCCGAGGGGGTTTTCTGTGGTCAGCAACATTCACAGGCAACTTTTGGACAGACGGCGTAATGCACTGTCGATGTTCGTTCAGGCAGTCCTAAGTCTTGCAACCTCGCGTGATTGGTTCCCCGTTGATTGAGATGCTTCATGCACTACGCCATGGGCCCAGTTTGCCCATCGACTTGCTAACAAGCGACAAGTGCCTGCACAATCCTCCCTAGCTTCATCAGCGATGGCTCTTCGGCTTGCCTTGGTGCTTACTCTTATCGGCGCGGCCGGAGCTTTTCGTGCCGACGAACGGTCCCAGGTGGTCCTAGCCGCAAACTCGTCGCACAACAAGACCCAAAGCGGCGGGCCAGACCCTGCAGAGGTAACGAGCGTGATCTCACACTACATACAGACCGGACACTGCCCGACCGGACTCCCCGGCGGCAAGCTGGAGACGGGCCTCCTCCCAATTAATATGGAAGGCTTGGCGCTCAGTTGTCTCAGTAGTTAAAGTTACTGATCTTCTGCTGCATTGTGAGGCTGTGGTTTCCAATCCCAGATATCGCTATCCACATGTCGTTGCATCGAGGCTACGACTACGGCATGGGTTGCAACAGCGCAGGGCTCTGCACTTGCCCGCACTCTCCCTTCTTCGTCTGTGCAACCGCCGGACGATTCGGTGGACCGGAGGGTTTCCTACTCAAAGGCATTGTCTCCACTTTTGGCTACTGCCGAGTGGCGGCGTGGGTCTGGGCCGCAGGCAGCGGTGTGGTGGTCTTGCTGTTGGGTGGTGTGGTGATGATTATGAAGAAGTGAAAGGGCCCTAAGTGTGTGAGAAGTCAAGGCTCGGCTCGCGATTGAAAAGACTGGAGTGACTGTAGCAATTCATGCTAATCTGCGCGGCACATGCCACGAGAACTGCAATCAACACGAAAGCAGCTTTCCGAATTTGCAGGAGCCTTGGCTGCTCTCTACAACGTCTTCTGGGAGCGGAAGGCTTCAACTCTCGCCAAATGCAAAGCTGTACGGATTTGGGTTTGCCAGGTTTTTGTTGCAACCTCATCTTGGAAAGTGCGTGAACCCGGACTCTTTCGGACGGCCCACTTGGGCAGCGCCTGCCTAGCCCTTGGCCCGGCTATACAAGTGACACTGCGCCCCCAAACCCACAGGACAGTTAGGAAGCCTTTTCAAGTTTCCCAGATTCGTCGAACTCCCGTCGGCGAATCCGCAGACTGCAGAAGCCGTATGCCGGGCGCAGCCGACAGGCATCGGGAAAAGCATAGCACGCAGACGATGGTAGCCGAAAGTGCATACTGGTGTGGGAGCAGGCTTCGTCTATTCGAGCAAGATGTGTGTACAAGCAGGTAGGTTTCGTAGCCACGACCTTGGCAATGGAGGATGCGCCTGCTGGCCACGATGCCCACAAGTATGTAGCTAAAAGTGGCGAGCTGCGTGCGATTATCAAAAAATCTTCTCCTTTGCTCCAGAGCAAAAAATTGCCGATTACTTCTTTCCAGATAAGCAAAGCACAGGCAGGAAGTCTGGAAGAGGCTTTGCGAATATGCAGGCTGTGCTATGTCCGCTTGAAGGATGGCGAGGATGGCATGTCGATGGACGACGTGAAAGACCTCAAGAAGCAGATGCTTGGAACGCCGATCCGGCCAGCCAAGAAAAAGCCAGCTGCCCAAGCGGCTCGGGGCGGAGATGCTGATGTGCATGAAATCAAAGCAGAGCCCGTCAGACCACGGAAGGTGGTGACCCGACCTGCCTTCAAACGGCCTTGCGAGGGGGAGGACTTGCTCGCCAGGGCAGTTGTGAAGGACTTGGCAGGGTGCTTCGCGATGTTTAAGTTGTTCGTACCTCGTTTTCAGTGCTTCAAGTCGCTCAGTTTGGTTCCTGAGTGAGCTCTGTGTAGTGTTTCGTTTCACGTTGCTCCCTTCACCGTCACTTGGCGAGCAGGATTTCGATGAGGCCCGAATCTCTCCGGACGAGATGGGCATCGACAGTGGTTTCTTGAGTCGTCGCGGCCTGCCCTGTGACAGCCCTGTTCGCCCGGAGCTTCGTCCGAAGTACGAGTTCGTCATTGCCACAGATGGGGGCTGCGATGGTGCCAGCAAATTTTCGCACGCATTTCGCGATGCCAAGCCATTGCAAAACTGGGGTCACGAGAGACACTGTGACTTGTGCAACCAAAAATGCAAAAACAATCTGTTTTTGCTGCGCTGCTTCGATCGAACTTCCAGGCCGTTCCGTTTGCACAAGGCATTGATCTACGCTGGGCCGGAGTGCAGCAAAGCTTTGCTTCGAGAAAAGCGGAGGTTCCGGCCTGAGCCACGCCAGCCAGGGGGTTTAGCGAGCTTTGACTGTGCATGTATAGTCGGATTCGTTCAGGTTTTGCTTATGTTTACAGCAGGCTGCACAAGCAGACAAAGTCCTTGCATTCTGTGACTCAGGTCGTATGCGAAGGACATGCGTGACTTGCAGCAAAAGTTGCGGAGCATCCTCACCAGGGAGACTTGGAGAGAGGAAATGCAGTCCATCATCGACGCCGGCAAGTATTTGAACTTCGTGTTAAAGGCGCTGCAAGCAGCTGCTTGGCGAGACACATGATTACAACGCCCTGTACAGGAAGATTCTCATTACGCATTTCCGGGGCAGATGACGTTGATGAAGAGACACAAGATGATAACAATGCTCCTGCTGCGGCTGCGGATGCTGGCAGTGTCAATACCACTACTACTTATGCCCACCATGCAGCCAGTACCACCATTACCATCGCTGCTATCCCTGCTATTGCCGTGGCGGTTGCTACTGATGCTACCAGTGCGATGTGTTCATTTTAGTTGCTAAGGCTTCTATGATCGAAGATAACACTACGACTCGACACTTTTTCAGGCTTTAGAGTTATGGATAACTCCTCATGATCTTTAATTCGTCTTGAGGTCTTGGGCATGGATAGGCGTGACAAGCTGGCCGGTCGACAAGATGCGGGAGGACGTGATCCATTCTGTCGAAGATCAGATCCGGTGCTGACCCGTGCGACGAAGCCGTTGGCATTCCGTGCTCTGGAGTCTCGGTGGCGTGGCCTATACTCGTAGCAGCATCCGGAGTTTGTTCCGTCGTTGAAGTTTCAACGCTCTGTTTAAGAGACTCTTCGTCGTTGTGTTTTGCGGACGCTTGTTGACAGGCAACACGGGGTCAATCGATGTTAGCAGTGTGGCAGTAAGATAAACGTTCTGTCATGTGTGTCGACTCCCCGAAATCGGTTACGTCGAAGTGTGCAAGCCTTGCTAAAGCTCAGCATTAAGTTATGGCACCATCTCTTGCGCAGTTCAACTACTCACGATGAAACAGGTTGAAGCCACAAGACCTGAAAGTGCAGCGTTCCGGCTCTATGTGGACAGCCTTCGCGCGAGCTTTGAGGCAGGGGGCAAAGCTTACCCAGTTGGCTACGCGGATCCGGGCACTTTGCAGCCCAGCTGCAGCAGAAGCAGATGAAGAGCAAAGGCTGAAGGACTTCCTGGCCAAGATCTCTTGCAACGCCCGGGTGTGGGATGCCGATGAAGCCAAAGACCGTTGCTTGTCGAACTGCACATCTCCGATCGCCACTTTGCAGTTGTGCTGCATCTACGGCCAGTTCCACGGGGCCGGGGTGGGATTGAGTGCAGAGGAGCTGACCGCGGTCAAGAGCAAGGTCCCCGAGATCTTTGAAGAGGTTGTGAGGTCTCCTGAGTCCGATGTCCCGGCCCAGGTGCTTCCGGTTGAGCCCGAGTCAGATGCTGCGCACTCCGTGCACAGCAGTGACTCCGAGGAGCCGAGGCCTCCGAAGCCTGTGCGGGACCTCCCCGCACCCCCCCCCGAGGAGCTGGGCACCCCTGTTTCTGAGCTGAAGCGTCGTGCTGATGTGGCGGCTGCTCTTTTGGGGGAGGCCGTGCAGGCAAGTGCACCCCGGCTTGAACCCGCCAGAGCCCAAGCGAGAGCCGAGGCATCTGACGCACCGAGACATGCTCTTGGCCCCCGTGCTCCCCAATTGGAAAGAACTAGAACTAGGGCCGAGTCAGCCGCCACAACCGAAGGTCCAAGCTCAGCGCCCAGCACAGCTCGAGCAGCTGCAAGACGGACCTTGCTGATTGCACCTGCCCCAGCTCTTACAGTTGCACCATCCAGACATGCACTCGGCCCCTCCGGCTCTCCCAGCCCTCAGCTGCAAAGGGCAAGGGGAGAGGCAAGCGCAAGAACCGAAGGTCCAAGCTCAGCGGCCCCCGCAGCTCGAGCAGCTGCAAAACGGAGCTTTTCAAGTGCTGTGGGTCATGCGCGCCAAGGGAGCTCGGTTGACAGGGTCTTACTTGGTTACCGGGACCGCAACAAGAGGAGAGCCATGGAGGACACTGTCGACATCCCGACTTGCCATCGCGGCCGCTTGCTGGGCACAAAGGGCTCAAACGTGAAAGAGCTCGAGGCCAGGTATGGCGTGACCATCACCACGCCACAGGTTTACGACACTGACCCTTGGTCCAGGACGACCGTAACCGTCCGAGGCCTTGAGGAAGACGTCGATGCAGTTGTGGCTCTCATCCGACGGCTCCATCATCAGGAGAGTGTGATCTTTCCTTCGGTTAAAAGCTTCGAGGATGATGTTGGAAGCACGCGCTTGAACGACCTGGCAAGGAGGCATGCTGTAATGACGAGATGGTACCCTGACAAGCTCCAAGTAGTGATTGTTGGCGAGCTCGTTGCTGCGCGACGTGTGGCACAGCAGCTGCATATCAAGCATGATAGCATTCACATCTCGCCGGAGCTCATGGATGATTACGATCGCGATCTGCTTCCCAAGCTTAGGGGTCTCCCAGGAATCAAGGAGTCCACGTATTCGAGAAAAGATGGTGTCATCCGCTTTATGGGGCAGGCGGGGATCTTGAGTCTTGCGGCACATCGTCTATGCTGTGGTTCACCCTTTAGAACAGCTTATGTTTTCCTTGCGACTGGCAAAGGCCGAGGCTGTGGATGCTGCACTTCAGAGAGTGATCGACTGGGCACGAGATCGTGAACCGCCGGCAAAAGACAGAGATTTGGGGGAAATCCTTCAGTCCTTTGCTCCTCACGAGCGTGGTGCCATCGGTGACTCTCGGCCTTATGGAGTTAGGATGAGCTAGGTATGCGTTCTAGACTTGCGGATGTCGACTGTTGTTGAGATTATATACATCACAGAACTCTACAGGAGATGTGGGACGATCTTTGAGTCGCTGCTGCCCTGTTCGGTTGAGGCAAAGGATGGCAAAGGCTGTGCACCCGATTTTTGTTCTGGCTGTGAGCCCTTTCGTCGCGCTGGTTTGTACAGGGCACCTGGCGATGAATGCTTGCGTTTTGCGGACTTCAGCTGGCAGCTGGTGTGTCCAGAGTCCAGCGTACAAAGATCCGATTGTGCAGTGAGCCCTTGCAGAAGCGAGCCCTACAAAGGAATCTTGCGCTTTATTGCGGAACCCTCAAGCCCTAAACCCTTATAAAAATTCTATGAAGGAAATCTTGGAACGACCCTTGACAAAAAATGCATCGGCAAGGCCGCTGGTCGAAGGCCTGGAAGCTCGGGCGCCTCAGGCGCGACTGCTCAGTTGCCTTTCTCTGCCTGTTTGTGTGTAGGGTTAGGTATAGGGTTTTGTAGGGAGTTGTAGGTATGTTCTTTGGGCTTTGTGTGATTTTCCGAGTTTTCCGAGGATTGTGTATCGGGGCTTTATAGGATCTTCTATATGGTCTTGTGGTGGTATTTACATTAGGATTCCTGTGAAGGGTTCTACACTGAATACTAGTCCCTGTCTAGTTCTAGCTTTAAAGATCTCATACCCTATTGTAAACCATTAAAGCCCCTATATTGGATGCTAAGATTGAGGATTTCGGATTTAGTGCTTTAGGTTTCAAGGGGCCCTTGGGTTTTTTTGCATTCCTGGGCTCCAAGTTTACGGAAAGAGTTGCTTCTACGCTTTGGGCGCCGACGGGGTTTGGGGTTTAAGGGTTTGAGGTGCTGCTTGAGATTAAGGTTGCTATACCTGTGGAAATTTCGGGCTTTTGCGGTTTCAAGTATGTTGACAGTCTAGAACTTCAAGGCTGCTCGGTTTTCCGGGTCCTCGAGCCAGGCAATGTGGGAGTTTAGCATGGCTTTTCCGGCAGTTCCATTCAAGCGTGATGACGTGATGCTGTGCTTTCTTGCCGGTCGTGACGGGGTGGAGCTTGCTAAGAGCATTGGTGGAGGTGGTGAGTGTCATTAGCTTGAGCAATGCCGTGCACGCTTAGAGAAGACTGCAGGTGGCTGGAGAGTCTTTCTTGTCCACAACATTGTTGGCCTGCCTGGGACCCAGATCGCGTGCCAACGACGCAGCGCTGGGTGGAGAGCTCAGTTGGACTAGCGGCTAAAGATACTTAGCTGTAGAGCCTCAAGGCAAACACGTCGGCTGATCCCAGGACACCAGGCTGCCGCGACCCGAGCGGTGAGAGAGACCTCTCTTGAGAAGCGGTTGAAAGGTTCGAAAGGATGAGGGGGAGTCGAGAATCAACCAAGCGAACTCGATTGGCTGCTGGGTGAAGGATGACACATGGCCTGGCCAGAAGGTAGAATTGCTAGATTCAGAATCTCTGTGGAAGCAAGAGCAGCAGGACGAGGAGGAGGAGCGTGAGGAGGAGGAAGAAGAGGAGTCGTAGTAGTAGTCGAGGGTCCGGGATCTGGAAATGAATTGCAGTGGATCTTCAAGCGTTGCGGGCGTATTCAATTCTTGGAGTCTTGCGGCTTGCGTCTATGTGGAAGGTGCAAAGCTTCGGTGCGTCCAGCAAGCTGTAAGGAGAAGGTACGGAACTGCTCGGACGGGTAGTCGTTCAGGTACAGAGGTAAGCCACAGCCGGGAGTTCGAATCGAGGTCACCATCAAGATCTCTGGGATCCAGCTGAATCGTGAATTCCGAATGCCACATCCTGAACCCTCGAGCCCAGGCGAAACCCTGCTTCAACACGGGCACTTTACTTTACATTGCAAGCCGTACTACAAGGGTACTGCGAAGAGGGTTCTTTAAAGGTTCACGGTCTTTGCGTCTTCGGCCTAGGTTTGCGGTCCTGTCGCATTCAAGCACACTTTGCTGCAGATTGGTTGGCCCCAGGCAGTTCGTGCCTCAGCATCATTTGAAGCCCCATTGCTTATAAGCATCAGTGAATACAAGTTTAGTTCTTGCGGCAACAGGCGTGAGTTTATTGCACAACAGCCGTTGAGTCTCGCCGCCATTTCGGCTCCAGAGAATAAGGG